AACTTCTTATCATTGATAAGATAAAGTCCAAACTTCTTATCATTGATAAGATAAAGTCCAAACTTCTTGGTCTGGCACTTAATGCACTTTCTTATTTTCTACATCAGAATACTTTTTGTCTGTTTATTTCCTACTCTTTATTACCACTGTCTTGCTTTAAATCATATTCTATCTTTATAGTGAACATCCATTGGTCCATCCATCCATCCATCCATCCTTCCATGCATCCATCCACCCACTAACCAACTACAGTCATGTGTTGCTCAGTGACAGGGATACTTTCCTAGAAATGCGTCGTTGGGTGATTTCGTCGTTGTGCAAACATCACAGAGTGTACTCACACAAACCTAGATGGCATAGCCTACTACATGCCTAGGCTATATGGTATAAATCTTATGGGACCACTGTCCTATATGCAGTCTGTCACTTACCAAAACGTTGTTATATGACACACGACTGTACAAGGCAGGAATGTGATTATTTCTGGGAACTATACCCTGCTCTCACTGACATTACAGTCTCGCGAAAGGGGACAAATAAGTAAGCCTATCTAATTATGACCCATGATGCAGAATGTATCTCAAGCTCTTTCATCTTCCATGAGGCTTCCCCTAAGTATCCTGTTCCCTCTTCATCTCTCTTGCTTTGCATGCTTACAACACTATTGTCCATATCATAATTGAGGGACAATGAACCTCATTTCAGTGAGGGTTAGGTTCTAAAATCAGTGTGAAAGGACAGAATCATCAAATTTCTCTTGTAAATACCTTAGGGAGAAGTTGTCACACTAGGGACTACTGTTTCCCAATACTCACCCATCACAGCAAGTTTGTGCCCCGTGTTGAAATGAGTTGCTGTGTCTTTGATTAAAATGCCAGAGAAGAAGTCAGCTTAGTTTAGAGCCAAGCTGTAGGAAAGATGCATTTCTAGCTAAACACTACAACCACAGCACACTCACACTCACCCTGAGATGCTCACAGTATGCGAGGCATGAGGGAACCAAGACGGACTCAGAGCACGGCAGTTACATTGTCTCAAACTGTCACACCGGGGCCTGTGTTCATTGAGTAAATTGTGCAAATCATCACCTGAGCTGTCTAAATTGTCTCCTGTCTTTCACATAAATTCCCGTAGAAAACAGCTCCCCTGGCCCACCTTGTGCTGTCTTCTAACTCTTTCAAACAAACAAGTGTACTAGGAGCTCCCGGAGCACACGAGTCATGTCTAGCACCACACAGTGGCTCCTTGTTGAACAAGATTGTCTAATCTCTTCCTTGGTGGACAAGGTCCTCCATGATTTGGTTCCTGTCTACCTCTACAATCCCATTTCTTTTCATTCCTTACTGTACTTTCTACACTCTAATTCTACTTAACTATTTCTAATTTCCAGATAAGACATGTTATTTCACACCTCCTGTCTCTGCCTATAGTGCCCCTTCCCATGTTATCCAGCAAACATTTATCCTCAGTACTCATTTCAAATGTTTCCTTTTCAGTGATAGGTTGATTGGATTAATGCCCCAATTCTTCACCCCTTCCTGGGTCCCTCCCCTTTGCCATGTAAACTTTTGGTGCCCTCCCACTCTGACTCTGGGCTTGACCACGTGACTTGCTTTGACCAATAGGATGTTAGGAAACACAATACAGTAGAGACTTGAAATGTGCTAATGCAATTGGGCTTACATATATATTTTTTATTGAGGGCACATTGGTTTATAACTTTATACAAATTTCAGGTGTACATCATTATATTTCAACTTCTGTATAGACTGCATTGTGTTCACCACAAAAGTCTAGTTTCCATCCGTCACTGTACACATGTGCCCCTTTCCCCCTCCCCCAACCCTCCTCCCCCTTGGTAACCACCAATCTGTTCTCCATATCTATGTGTTTGTTAACCTTCCACATAGGAGTGAAGTCATATGGTAATTGTCTTTCTCCACCTGACTTATTTCACTTAGCATAATACCCTCAAGGTCCATCCATATTGTTGCAAATGGCAAGATTTCATCTTTTTTTTAATGACTGAGTAATATTCCATTGCATTTATATACCACATCTTCTTTATCCATTCATCTATTGATGGACATTTAGATTGCTTCCAAGTCTTGGCTATTGTGAATAATGCTGCAATGAACATAGGGGTGCATAGATCTTTTCGAATTAGTGTTTTCATGTTCTTTGGATAAATACCCAGAAGTGGAATAGCTGGATCATATGGTATTTCTATTTTTAATTTTTTGAGGACTCTCCATACTGTTTTCCACAGTGGCTGCACCAATTTACATTCCCACCAGCAGTGTACAAGGGTTCTTTTTTCTTCACATCCTCTCCAACACTTGTTATTTCTTGTCTTTTTAATAATAGCCATTCTGACAGGCAGGCATGAGGCAATATCTTATTGTGGTTTTGATTTGCATTTCCCTAATAATTAGTAATGTTTAACATATTTTCATGTGCGTGTTGGCCATCTGTATATCTTCTTTGGAAAAGTGTCTGTTCATATCCTTTGCCCATTTTTTCATCAGGGTGTTTGTTTTTTTATTGTCGAGTTGTATGAGTTCTTTATATATTTTGGATATTAACCCCACATCAGATATGTAGTTTGCAAATATATTCTGCAATTGGGCTTATCTTGCTTGTCCGCTGTGACTGCTAGGAGAATGTTCCTGGGCTAGCCTGCTGGAAGATGATAGACTGTGCTAAGTCAGGTTGCCTCCATCATCCCACCCAAGGCAATCCTATATCAGTTAACTGCAAGCTGACCCCCAGACCTGCAAGCAACCCCAGCCAATATCGGCAAAGCTGTCTAGATGGTCCACAGTTGACTGGGGACATATGAGAAAGCCAAGCTGAGACCAGCCCAGATCAGCTGAACCCCACACGTATGGTGTATGCTACTCAAGTTTTGCTGTTTTTTATTATGTAGTGTTACTCTAGCAATAGATAAATGATACATCTTCTATAAAGACTTTCCTGACCCTCCCAAGAAAAAGCAACCACTCCCTCATTTTTACAACCTCTGAATCCTGTACCTTCCTCTATTACAAAACTTAACACTCCCTACCATTATAAACATTTGATGAATGAATAAGTAATATGATTATTTATTTTTATGTTTGGTTCTCCTTCTGAGACTGACCTTCTTGAGAACAGGAAATATTTGTGAGGGAGGTAAGGCATATAGTCAAAATATTTTGGGCATACCCGTTGGTACAGCCATAACAGCAAACAGTGTGGTGGTTCCTCAAAACATTAAAAATTGAACTACTATATGATCCAGAATCCCACTCCTGGGTATATGTCTGAAGGAACTGAAATCAGCGTCTCAAACAGAGATCTGCACTCCCATGTTTACTGCAGTATTACTCACAATAGCCAAGACACACAAACAACCTAAGTGTCTTCCAACAGATGAGTGGATAAAGAAGATGTGGCATGATATACAATGGAATATTACTCAACCATGAGAAAGAAGGAAATCCTGCTGCTTGTGACAACATGGATGGACCTTGAGGGCATTATGCTAAATGAAATAAGTCAGAGAAAGACAAACACTGTATGATCTCTCTCATATGTGGAATCTAAAAAAACTGAACTTGTAAAAACAAAGAGTAGAATGGTGGTTACTAGGGGCTGGGGGAATTGTAGATGTTGTTTAAGGGTACAAACTTGCAACAGTAGATAAATAAGTTCTGGAGGTCTAATGCACAACATAGTGATTATAGTAAAAAAATACTATATTATAAACTTCAAAGTTGCTGAGAGACTAGATCTTAACTGTTCTCAACAGAAAAAAAGAAATAATAATTATATGAACTGATAAAGGTATTAGCCAATGCAGTAATCATCTTGTAATACATAAATGCGTTAAACAAACACGTTGTGCACCTCAAACTTACCCAGTGTTATATGTCCATTATATCTCAATAAAAAAATATATCGTTTGGGCACACCTGGGTTGGAGTCATGGCTCTGCAAGTGGCAAACTTTCTGAGCCCAAGTGTCTTTGGCTGTACCGTGAGGACAGTGGCAGCCACGCTGCAGCCCTCTTGAGAAGAGGCATTGAGAAAATCTGCATAAAGTAGCCAGCAATGCCTGATACATCAAAGGGCACAACAGACAGTATTTGGTTGAGAGAATTACTGACCTGACACTTTCATGGCAAAATTCTTAGCATGAGTGCACCAAAAGTAGAAGGTCCTTTGTGCTATTATCAAATCCTAACATCACCCCTGCTGCCCACAGCATTCTGTAGCCTCTAATTGAATTTATCACTACGGAAGCTGATGTTTCAATTTACTGAACCCAACTGTATAGTAAATAAAAGTACCTCAGAGGACCATCTTTGCAACTTAACCTCAGCATGGGTGTTAAACACAGTTTATTTAATCTCTCATTTAAAACAAAAGTCGCAGTTTGTTACATATAAATCTGCTCTTTCTGCAACCCTTTGGAGAAATGCAGACACCTGGCTAGTGCGGCTGCCCGCTCTCGGGCAGGAGCAGCAACCCCGTTGGTGGGCTCCACTCCTGCACAGCTAAGAACCAGGTACTCACCTCCCAGGAGGCAGGTCGCCCTCTTTCACAGCGGCTGCAAGGGCAAGAGGCAGAGTGAAAAAGAGGTGTCAGTGGCAGCCCGAGGAAAGCAAATTACGTTTGTGCAATGACCTGACCCCAGAGGCACAGTGTGGAGTGGCAGCTCACCTGTGCCCCAAGCCTCCCCTCCCCCGGCAGCAGGGGACTGCCCGTCCTGCACCGCAGCACTCACCCACCCTTTACAGTGCTTATTTATGAGTGCAATCTCCTGTATTAGACTTTGGCCTCCTTGAGCACTCGATCTTCTGTGGGGTTTCTCTCTTAATCTCTTGTATCTATCATAGGGCCCAGCAAGGAGAGTGTAGCTGCTCAATGCATGCCTGAAATAACGAGAACACTGCATTTATTGAGTGCTTCCTCGTGTGCCAAGCACTGTTGAAAATTTTTCCATGATGCATCTCATTTATCCTCACAGCCATTCTATGAGATGAGTGTTATTATCATCCCCGTTTTACAGATAAGGACAACGAAGCTCAGAGAGTAACATGCTCAAACTTAAATAGCTAGTGAGTGGGGAGCTGGGATTTACAAAGCCTATTTTGTTACAAAAGAATTAGTACTTCTGTGTTCTCTGACAACCTTCTTCCCTCTCAGAGAGAGAGTTTGAGGCCTGAATTATTTAATGTTTATAAAAATCACACTTAGCCTTCTCTGATATGGAGGTGGCCATATTATTAAAGTCTACTGCTAAGAGCTCTGTTTCTTTATACAGAGTCTTCTTTATAAGACTTAAGATAACTTATAGCAATGGTTCTCAAAGTGTGGTCCCTGGGCCAGCAGCATCAGCATCCCCAGGGAACTTGGTCAAATGGCAAATTCTCAGTCTCCCAACCGAAACCAGCTGAATCAGAAACTCTGGGATTGGGGCCCAGCAATGTGTGTTTTAACAAGTCCTCTAGGTGATTCTGATGTAGGCTGAAGTTTGAGAACCACTGAGTTAAAGAAATTTAACCATGAGGTTGCCCAAAGCAATCGAATGAACAACCGATGAACTAAGAATCAATGAACTAAGAATTAGCTCTCCCAGTGGACCATCTGCTGGCATTTACAGCCACAGTAAAACAAATGCTAGCACAGCACTACCTATCGCCCCAAACGGTGTGCCCACCTCTTGTCTCATCACAGCAGACATAAGCAACGCTGTGTAAAATGTCCACAGGCTCAGACTGTGGTGGGGTGGAGAGGGGATGAGGTGTTCCTTTACAAAGGAAGACCCAAAGTGGCTTCCAAGGATGCTTCAGTGCCTGGAAAGGACCGGTGGGGGGGCCCTTCAGTTAACTACCGGAGGCAGATCACAGAGGCCTGAGGGACCCATAACGACCACAGGTCAAGTTCACACTGACTGTCCTCCCTTTCACTCCCTCCCCCTCTTCTACTGCACTGGTTATGTTGACAACACAGGCTTTGTAGCAAACACAAAGGCTCACTGCCTTCCCGCCCCCAGCTACTTTTTGTTTTCTTCCTCTTGGACAGATTCCCAGTGATCAAATGCAATGCTCTCAGGGGAAGCGGGCTGGCCCAGGAGCGATAAGGGGCCAATTCCCGCAGATTTGTCATTTCACGGGCAAGCTGCCACAGCCTCTACGTGAGAACAAGCAGTGATGGATGTCCGGCCCCGTGGAAAAGCAGATCAGCATTGTCACTTGGGACATGACGTGGAGAGGGAGGTGACCGGAGTTGCAGGCACTGGAGCTGTGACTAGGGTTACTAACCTTGTGCATTTCCTTACCTTCCCTGTGAGTCTTTGGAACAGCCGCTGCCTGCCTCTGCCTCTCCCTCTGCCTCTGGAAGGCCTGGAGGTTCACAACCGGGGGCTTGGGTGGCTTTTGGGGAGGAGGACCCAGGGACTCCATAGAAGGCAGTGGCTTCGTTTTGGGAAGTTGGTGATGCCTGACATCCGGCTGTTTTTCTGAGCACAAATAGTCCAAAATGTAGGTTATTATTATTTCCATTTCGTGGCTTGTTGGGTGAAACAGATGAGTTTCTTTGCCTCAGTCTCACTCCCTCCAACCCATTCTCCACTGAGTAGCCAGAGTGTCCTGATCAAAACACAAACCTGATCTTGTCACCATCTTGCTGCCCAGGGGACGAAGCCTGATTTCCTCAGCATGACATCCACTCACTCCGTCCTCAGCATTTAAACACCACACAGCCCCAATCTACATTTCCAGATTCTTTTTTTACCACCCTGACCATCCTACTTCCCCAACCTTAAACCCAAACATCTTTCACTCACACCACTGGCTTCTCAGTTCTCCAGATTTGATTTCCAAAGCCTTAAAAAGCTCTCATATATCCAAGATTTTGTTCATGCCATTCTGGTTCTAGAATGCTGTTCCCTCACTTCTCTTTTGGTGAACTTGGACTCATTCCTTAAGCCCCTGCTCCAATGACACCTCCCCTAGGAAGCTTTTCTTGATTTCTACCAGAAATCATGGCCACAATCAACCACTCTCTGTTTTGTATCCCCATAGCATATTGTTAACACAGTGTTGTGGCAAATTAGAGGGGCTGTTCCGTCTTCCCTCTGGATGTAGGCTCCTTGTGGGCAGGGACTAGGTCTTATTGATCTCCCAGCACCAAGCACAGAGGAAAGCACAAGGACGATTCTCCGAAAGGATTCTTCAAGCATTTATCATGGGCGAATAACATGAGGGCCATGAAGAGGAGGAAGAATTGATCTCTGATTTCCAGGCTCACAGCCGAGGACAAGCTTTAAGGTTGACTTTGTGGTACCCGGGCGCCTGTGGATTTTGTGTCTCAGAATTTCCCAGGACAGTCCCAATTTCATATATTTTATCCTTCTGCACTAATAAGCCAAATTCCAACAAAAATTTCAATATTATATATGAAAATCGAATCTGCCTTTTTTTGTGTGTGAGGAAGATTAGCCCTGAGCTAACATCTGTTGCCAATCCTCCTGTTTTTGCTGAGGAAGATTGGCCCTGGGCTAACATCTGTGCCCATCTTCCTCCATTTTATATGTGGGACGCCTGCCACAGCATAGCCTGGTGTGTATGTCCGTGCCCAGGATCCGAACCTGTGAACCCTGGGCCGCCGAAGCAGAGTGTGCAAGTTTAACCACTACACCACCGGGCAAGCCCCTGAATCTGCCTCTTTCACTGATGACAGCACAAAATCTTGTATTATTCAAGTGCCTAGATTTTTGGCTTACATAACACAGTAGTTGACTACATGGTAAAACTAAAGAAGTTGGCTAGTGTTATGCAAATACCTCAGAGCAACTTCCTCAAAGCCCTGCTAACCTCTGCAATCGGGGAGGGGGCTTCCCTCTCGCCCTGCCAGGAGGGGTTACATCACTCAGGGCCAAAGTTCCTCTCTTCTTAGGCTTCAATTATAGGCTTCAATTATAAGTCACAATGTCAGAAATTTCAGTCTTTAGCAAATTAAGGAGAAGACATAGTGAAAACTAATGATCGCTTGCTAACCGAGCTCCTAATTTTTGCCAGGCACTGTGCTAAGCGACTGCCATGGGTTACCTCAGTTCATCCTCTCAACAGCTCCAGCAGGTAGCTAATCCATCTGCTTTTCTTTGCTCCCATCTATCCTTCATCCCATTCATCCTCTCTTCCTTCCCATCCCTTCATCAATAATTATTTACCTACTTTATTCCAGGCATTCTTCCAGGAGCTGGAGATAGAGTTAAGAAAAATCATAGATATAGTCCTACCCTCAGGAATTGTTATTCCCATAGGAAGAGACTGATGATAAACATGCAAACACATAAACAAGACAATTATAGAGATCTATCAGTTCTATAAAGGAAATAAAACAGGATGATATGAAAGGGTGTGAACTCTTGGAGGTGAGCTAGTGGTCTTTTTAGACAGAGAGGCTAGGGAAGGTTTATCTGGGAAAGTGTCATTTGAACTGAGGCTTAAATGTACCTACAAAAAGTCAAAGCAAAGAATTTTCTAGGAAGAGGGAACAGCAAGTATGAAGGTCCTGAGTCATAACAAAGTCTATTTAAGGAACAGCAAGAAATCCAGTGTGTTGACTGCAGGCTGGTGAGCCAGGGGAAGAGAGGCAAGAGATAAGTCAGAGACAAAAGCAGGGGCCAAAAGAAGCAGAGTCATGAAACCAGCCGTAAGTAGTTTAGATGCTAGTCTAAGTGCAAAGAGAAACCACATAGGATCATAAGCAGGAGATCCATCCATCCACCCATCCATGCAATCATTCATTCAATCATTCAATAAATATTTTTTGAGGACCCACTGAACCTAGCCTTGTTCTTATAGGTGCTGGGGATGTGGTGGTAAAGAAGACAGTTTTTATTCTCATGTAACTTATATTTTACTAAGGTAAACAAACAAATACCTAACAATAGACCAGGTAGGCATAAGTGATCTGAAGAAACCGAAGCAATGTAAGAAGATAGAGAGTGATGGGGGGTGTGGCTAGTTTAGATAGAGTGATCCACAAGGTCCACTCACAGCAGGTGACACTGAGCAAAGACCTTGATGAAGTCAGCGAGTGAGACATCCAAGACCTAGGGGAAGAGTGTTCCAGGCAGGGGGATCAGTAAGTGCAAAGGTCTTGGGGTAGAACAAGCTTGGTTTATCTAAGGAATAGCAAGAAGGCCAATGAGGTGAGAGAAGAGAGGATAAAAGAGGTAGCCAAGGACCAAATCACAAGAGCCACTGTAAAATGGCTGGAGTTGAATTTGAGCAGGGGAGTGATGTGATCTGATTTATGCTTTAGAGAATTGCTGTGCCTGTGAGGAGAGTAGAATAGAAGAGGGCAAGAATGTGGAAGCAGGGAGACCAGTTGAACCATTGCAGTGATCCAGGCGAGCGATGATGGTGGCATGGACATGGGCAGAGGACAGAAATGGACAGAAGTAGAGGGACTCAGAATGTATTTTGGTGGTAGAACTAAGAGCTTGCTGATGAATTGGATGTAAAGAATGAGGGGGAGAGAGCAATAGAGCATGATTCCTAGGTTTTGGCCTGAGCAACCAGGAGGGTGGTTGTGTTGTTTACCAAGACAAGGAAGATTGGTCGATCTGATTTATAGGAGAGCAGACCAGCTCTGTGAAGTTAAGCAGATTGCCCAAGTTCACAAATCTTGCAAGAAGTAGAGTTAGGATTCAAATCCAAGTTTGCCCAAACTGTCTCTCAGTATAATTCTAGGAGATTAATCACTTTACCCAAACCTGAAATTACAATTTAGCAGATGGGCCTAGAATACCTGTGCCGGTGTTTGGAGCAGATATTGCCCAGGTCACATATGTGAGCACCCTAAGTCAGCAAGTTCTAAATTAGAAAAACACAGTGACCACTCTCCCCAGGCCCATGGGGATTAGATTTCTCACCTGGGGCCTGGCTGATGAGCTCACTCTCATAGATAGGCTGGCAGGTGCTCCCTGCTGGGCTCTTCTCAGGACTGGGGTTTTCTAAGCTCTTCCTGCCATGTTGAGAAAGTAGAAGAGTAGCATCTTCAGAGGTAGCACGTGATTTTCTTTGGGCCATCAAGTGCCTCTGGGAAGGAAGGGTCTGGGCTCCTTTGGCTTCCAGCTTTTTCCTGGGCTCCTCTGGAGCAAGCCCCATGCTTTCCTGCTCTTCCAGATGGAAGGCCCTACTTCCACAATTGGCAAGAAGACAGGCTGATGACATCTCATTTTTCTGAGATGAAACCTTCTCCCAGTTCCAAAGCTTGTCTCTGAAGCTACTGGTCACCATTACTTTCTCCTCATTGGTTATCTCAGCGTTTGACTGATGCACGTCTAACAGCAGAGAAGCCTTCTGTGAATTTACTGCAGAACCAGCAGACCTTTCCGGAGGTCCTGGGGAATTAGAACATTTCTGAATCTCGCTCCTCTGGGCCAACTTCATTTTCTGGGGTTTAAAAGGCTGGGGTTCACCACTGGAACAATATGGTGGGGACTGATTATGGTTGGATGAGAGGGGTCTCCCATTGGCCAAAATCCCTGTGGACTGTGTGCTTCCAATGTCACTCTTCCGAGAAACATCTGCTGGGAATTTAATAGCTCCTGGAAGAGATGGTGCTTCAAGCTTTTGAAATTTGGCTTGAAGTTCCTTGAAGTTTGTTAACCTTTCCTAAAGCACAAAAGAAAACAGAAGTGTCTCATTATTCTAGGAAAAAGACAGCCTGATTAGCTGACTTCACCATGGATGCTAAGGGGCTCTAAGTGCCAATGTAAGGCCATCACTTGCCTGTTGAGCATTAACAGCCAGTAATGCTATTGTCTATGTGAGATGGGGTGAAAACAATTGTTCTCTTTGAAATACTTCAGATATATTTAATTTCTTCATAACATACAAAGAACACTCATAAAAGAGATAGTATTAACAGTTGCTGATAAATCCCTTGATACAAAATTTGATAGCTCCCTGCTGCCTATACAAATAAATTCTAAACCCCTTAGTATGGCATTCAAGGTTCTTCATAATGTGGTGGGATTACAATCTTGAAGATGGTGGGATTATGACCTCCAGCCACAGCTCAACTCAACTACCCTTAAACCAAACATGATTATTCACAGTTTTCCTAGAAACTTTGTACTCTTCACCACCCTGACTTTGCTGATGTGTTCTTGCTTCACATGACATGTCTCCCACCTCCTTCTCAACTTCTTTCTTGCAACTTCACCACCCACTTTCTCCACTGACGTCTCCTGGGGATGACAGGTAGAGCTAACCTCTGCCCTGTCTCCTTGGGGCTTACATGGCTCTTTATAACTTGGCTGTGGAACTTGACACCATGGGGTGTGGAAAAGAGCAAATTTTGGAACCAGACAGGTTTGTGTTCAAATTCTGACTCTGCTCTTTATCATCTAGGCAAATACTTTGGGAATCTTGGTATTACCAGTGCAGTCGCCTCATAAAAATAAGTTGCCAAGTGGTAGAGGATTAGGGCTACTCCATGTGAGGTGTCCATCACAGTGCCTAACACATAGTAAGCCCATGATAAATAAAAGATATTTAGAAGAGCCCAGATGACCCACTTGTATTTCTGACTCCCCTTGGGAGACTGTGTTCCTCATTCTAAACTCAGCTCAAATTCAGTATATGAAAACAATGGTAGTAACAGCAGCCCAACCCTTGGGGCAGGAGGGACGTGCCCAGGATTATACGGTGAGTTGGTAGTTTGGGTAGGTAGTGTTAGGTTTGACTCCTGCTCGATGCTCTTCCCACCACTCACACCTTTCTCTCACCAGATCTAATTTATGTTTATAAGTGCATTTTGTCATGTTTTGTCTTCACAGGAGGCAGGAGGGGGTGGAGGTAGAGTGTGGGAGGACACCTAATGGAGCCATTTCAAAAAGTAAGAGCCACCATCTTCTCCTGATTATCTTAAAGGTCTTAATTTCACGTATACAATCTCCATGCTAGTGACTTCTGCTTTTGCCAGCTGAGGAAATGTTCCGTGACCTTTCTCCCTGTGTTTACAGTTGACTCACACCTGCCCTCTGAAGATTTAGGAAGGGAGGGAAATTGAACAAGAAGCATGAAGCAGGTGTCTGGGAGCATTCTCTCTCTCTCCTTCACACACACACGCACACACACATACCATACGCACATTTATAGCTTTCTTCACAAATTGCCAAGGGTTGGTTTCCCATATTTCAACAAGCAGTCAAGTTAATTCCACTACACTTCCTCTCCCCTGATGTGGTGGAAGCCAGCACTGGGCATGGAACCAGGAGTTCTGAGTATGCAGCTAGGCTTCACTGTTTCCTAGTTATGTGCCTTGGACAATTCACTTTACTTCTCTGAGTCTTATTTTCCTCACTGTAAAATGGGACTGTTTTACTAACAGTTCAGGGTTATTGTAAGGATCAAATGAGATAGCAGATGTACATACCTCAGTGGTTAATATTTTTTAATTGTGGTAAAATACATATAACAAAATTTACCACCTTAACCATTTTTAAATGTGTAGTAGTGTGAAGTGCATTCACATTGTTGTGAATATCCAGAACTCTTTTCATATTGCAAAACTGGCCTCTATACTCATTAAACAATAATTCCCCATTCCCCTTCCCCCTAGCCCCTGACAGCCAACATTCTACTTTCTGTCTTTATGAACTTGACTACTCCAGGTGCCTTATATAAGTGAAACCATACGTACTTGGCTTTTTGTGACTGGTTTATTTCACTTAGCATATTGTTCCTAAGGCTCATCCATGTTATAGCATATTACAACATTTCCTTCCTTTCTAAGGCTGAATAATATTCATTGCGTGTATATACCACATTTTGTTTATCCATTCATCCATTGATGGACACTTGGGTTGCTTCCACCTTTTAGCTATTGTGAATAAGACTGTTATGAACATGGGTGTGCAAGTATTTTTTTGAGACCCTGCTTTCAATTCTTTTGGGTATATACCCAGAAGTGCAATTTCTGGATCAAATGGTAATTCTATTTTTAATTTTTTGAGGAACCTCCCTACTATTTTCCTTAATAGCTACACCATTTTACCTTCCTAATTGGCACATGGGTTCCAATTTTTCCACATCCTTTCAATCTTTTTGTTTATTTGATAGTAGCCATCCTAATAAGTGTGAGGGATCACTGGTTAATATTTTTAAAGGAATATAATGATGATTATTTTTAGCTCTTCACTATCTGAACCCGCCTGAACTACAATGTTATTGCTTGGTAGATTTTAGTCTCTGTAGGAATGATTAGGAAAAACCCTAGCAGGAAATAGAATTATGGATTGATGACCTCTAAACCAAGGTCCTGTGTAAAGATCACTGGTTCAGGAGGAAGCAAACCTGATTATATCGGACTTATTCCTCTTTCAACAAATGTTCGTTAAGTATTTACTACATGGGAAAAACACTGTTTTAGACAGTGAAAGGCTCTGCTCTTAAATATTACATTCTAATGTCAGAAAGAGACAGAAAATGAGCAAATACACATGAAAACATAGAGACAAGTGCTATGTGGGGAATTAAATAGATGATTTGATAAAGAGTGACCGGGTGCCTACCACTGATTTTCAGAAGTACCATAGGAAGGTCATTTCTTTTTTCCTGGGTTCAATAATTTATCAAATTAGGGGGTTGGCCTGGGTGATCTCCAAGGCCCCTTCCAGCACTAACATCTGGATTTTATTTTCCTTGCTATGGGAAATAGATGTGATGCGTTCTGTTGTCTATTATTCATCACCCATGGGTGGGAGGTCAGGGTTGAGGGCATGAGGCAAGTTGAGTGAGGATGGGTTGGGTGGTGGCCAAAGGGGCATTCCAGTTAAAACCATGTTCCATTTTTATGGGTCCGCAGCCCGTCAGTCACCACATCTTACTGATCTTGTCTTACGAAACCCATGATCTTGTCCCTTCTTCATGCTATTGCCGCAGCCTTCGAGTCCTCCTCAATTATTGTTTAAAATTACTTCTTCCTGGTCTCTCTGCTTTTACTCTGGGCCCCTCTAATCCACCATTTACCCAGCTGTTAGACAAATCTGATTAAAAACACAAATCTGATCATGTATGTCCCAGTTTAAAATCTTTGAATTTGGCTTCTCAAAGCTTTCAAATACAGCTCAAACTCTTATGCTTAGCACATAAAGCCCTTCCTAATCTCAACTCTTAATTTTCTAGCATCATACTGGGCCCCTCTCTGATGTGGTTTCTTCCTTCTGGCCTCACTGAATTGCTTACATTTTCCCAAACTTTCTTTGCTCTTTCATGTCTCTGTACCTTTGAATGTGTTGCTTCCTCTGCCTGGAATGCCCATCTTTCTTCCAATTTCTTGAACTAGCAAATTTCTGCTTGTTCAAAAGTTGACTCGTGTCACTTCAAAATATTCATTGGTTTCCTACAACGTGCTAGGCATTAGGGTTACAAAGATGAATAAGACATTCCATGAACCATAATACCAAAACCAGACAAGGATGCCACAAGAAAAGAAAATTATAGGCCAATATCCCTGATGAACATAGGTGCAAAAATCCTCGACAAAACATTAGCAAACTGAATTCAACAATACATTAAAAGGATCACACACCATGATCAAGTGGGATTTATTCCAGGGATGCAAGGATGGGTCAACATCCACAAATCAGTCACTGTGATAAACCACATGAACAAAATGAAGAACAAAAATCATATGATTATCTCAATAGATGCAGAAAAGGCATTTCACAAAATCAAACATCCATTTATGATTAAAAACTCTCAACAAAGTGAGTATAGAGGGACTATACCTCAACATAATAACGGCCAGATATGACAAGCCCGCAGCTAACATCATACTCAATGGTGAAATGCTGAAAGCTTTTCCTCTAAGACCAGGAACAAGACAAGGATGCCCACTCTTGCCACTTTTATTCAACATAGTACTGGAAGTTCTAACCAGAGCAATTAGGGGAAAAAAAAAAAAAAAAAAAGAAAGAAGTAAACAGCATCCAAAGTGGAAAGGAAGAAGTAAAACTGTCACTATTTGCCGATGACATGATATTAGGTATAGAAAACTCTAAATTCTCCACCAAAAACTGTTGGAACTAATAAATGAATTCAGTAAAGTTGCAGGATACAAAATCAATATACAAAAATCTGTCATGTTTCTATACACTGATAACAAACTATCAGAAAGATAAATTAAGAAAACAATCCCATTTACAATTGCATTAAAAAGAATAAAATACCTAGGAATAAATTTAACCAAGGAGGTGAAAGACCTATACACTGAAAACCATAAGACACTAATGAAAGAAATTAAAGAAGACACAAATAAATGGAAAGATATTCTGTGCTCATGGATTGGAAGAATTAATGTTGTTAAAATGTCCACATTACCCAAAACAATCTACAGATTCAATGAAATTACTATCAAAATTCCAATGGCATTTTTCACAGAAATAGAACAAACAATCCTAAAAATTGTGTAGAACCACAAAAGATCTCAAATAGCCAAAGCAATCTTGAGAAAGAAGAACAAAGCTGGAGGCATCATGCTCCCTGATTTTAAACTATATTATAAAGCTATAGTAATCAAAATAGTATGGTATTGGCATAAACGGTACGGTAATTAAACAAAGATCAATGGAACAGAATAGAGAGTCCAGAAATAAACCAACGCA